ATACACGTATCAAGTCACCTAGGACTCGATAACATGGAAAGAGTCCCACCAGAGCTCAATCCTTTTGATATCGTAGGTATCTGGGATGAGTGAATTTCCCCCTTAGAGGGAGTGTGAGCCGTATGGCTAAATCTGGATAATACTCATGTTACTCGTGTGATTCCCAAAAATCACCTAGCGAACATAAAACAGCTGGGTCTAAATGAACATCTTTATAAGGCCATACATAAAGCTGTACTCCTCGCAATGTCCAGATATGTACGAAAATTTTTGTGAGAGACTCCAGCATACCAAGTCACCTAGGGCTCAATAACACAGAAAGAGTCCCACCAGAGCTCAATCCTTTTGATACCGTAGGTATCTGGAATGAGTGAATTTTCCTCTAAGACTGAGTGCGAGCCGTATGGCTAAATCTGGATAATACTCAAAAGCAAACTTAATTCCAAGCACATAGTAAAAGCAATAAACACATACGCAATGACACCTTTCACATAGTCCTCATTTGGCGTTATAAAATTGTCGAATACGGAAACTGAAGAACTAAATAGACCAAATAGAACCGTAATAACTATATACGCATCAACCATTCAAAATAATACATCCAACGTATGACTAACACGCACACAAGGCGGGGAAGAACGGGGTGTTTTGGAAATATCACCCACTACTTAATAATATCTAAAAAAAACAGCAAAAAAAAACAAAGACAAAAATACATATAGCAGCGATTAGACCGATGATAGCATAAGCGGCGAAAGTAATGTGTCTTACGAAAAAAGAATAAAATAAAAGAATAAAAAAATTATAAGAATAAACAGACCAATAAAGCCAGAACAATGAAGCATGAAATAAGAAATATAAATATAACCGAAGAAGAAGACATAGTAAAATTTATTAATCAATAAAGACTGAGATAGTAATAGATTTAAATAACATTTTTGTTATTTCCCACTAAAATATTACATAATCATAATACCAGATCATTTAATTTTTAACTATCAACAAAAATGTAATATAATATGATGTACGAATTTAATGGTAATATGATATTGACAAAGAAAGCCGCAACATACATAATTTCTTTGTCGGTAACATTGTTTAGATAATGAATGAATTTGGTATATTTGAGTGGCTTCATATCAAAGACGGACATTTGCAAAAAAATAAAAATTTAGTTAGAAGTTGTTTCTTATAGAATTTTTCCTGTTCTTTCCAACGGTGATAATAGTTTCCTTCAAACACGGACGCAAATATGTTATTTTCGACTTTAAAGTTGAATGTTTGTTTCAAAAACGGACTCCTGTTATGAAGGTTTATATCAAAAATGGACATCTCCCTAACAGCCAATAAGAATGCTGTATTGTGATCACATGACTGCGAGATCAACAATGGCCGCCACTTCTTTCAACGTGTCTGATGTGAATCGTTTTATTTGTGTTTATTACTAGTTTAAACTGTTTTTTGTGCAAATTATTAGTTATAATTGGATATTCATGGAGTTAAATATATCTGTGAGTCAAGGAACGACTCGTAAGAGGAAGAGCGATCCCGAAAAATGGAAACGAAACATCCAGAAACGGCAAAGGTAATTCTAATCATTGAACTCAATCATGCACTTAAACTTTTAATTGCTGTAAAAAAGTGTCAATAGTTGGGTAGAAGTTTGATATGGTAGAAGTTACTGTATATATTTATCCGAGTTATGAATAATTTTTAAGTAATATGATAATGTCTGATTTTAAAATATAAAGCTAGAAAGTTGGCTGTAAAAACATGACCAGCTTAGTACCACTTGTTGAAGTTTTTCAAAAAATTGAGAGATTCCTAATGAAAATTCTAGATAGATAGATAGATCTTTATTTAAATAGAAAAACCTAATATACATACAATATAAAAAAAGTACACTATAAATTTTTGATATGTTGTTTAAGCAACATTTTGAAATTATTGAGGCTAGTACATTTTTTTACAGCTGCAGGTAACTGATTAAATTTAAGGAAGCTTTTAAAAAAGAGCGAATTTATCGCATTTTTATACATAGTTCTACCTATTTATTTAGTCTATTCACTAAATTAACTAGAGTTTAATTATTTTCTCTTTTTGTATGTTCATGCAGGTACTCAGCCAAAGGTCTTCCTCTGTACCCCACCTGTCAGCACCGAGTTGGATACCAGTGCCAGCTTTTAACAATGCGTGATGTCATAGAGTTCCACAAAGCCTTTTACTCCATCCCAGAAAAAAGCAAGCAAGATGCGTTCATTTTGAAATACTGTCGGGCTGGCCCACCCAAGCCCAAAAGAAAGAAGCTTGATCCTATAAAGGGGAAGACCACAATCTTCCAATATTCGGTTGCAAACCACGCTGGCAACAATCTCAAAGTTTGCAGGGATGCTTTTCTCAAAGTGTTGCAGCCTATTACTAAGCATAGAATTATAGGAGTGTTTCGAAATTTCAAGAAAGTTATATCTCATGTCCCAGTGGAAACCCGAGGCGGAAACCACAAGGAAGTTAAGTTTGCTCCGAAAAGAGAAGAGGTAAAAAAGTTTATTTGTAGTTTTAAAGCTATTGAATCGCATTATTCACGACATCACTCATCACGTGTCTACTTACCATCAGACCTGAATATCGCCAAAATGTGGAAAATGTTCAATTATGGTAAAGAAGAATCTGAGAAAGTTACCCAGGGATTTTTCAGGAAAATATTTTGCTCAGATTTCAACATTGGATTCTCTTGTCCTAGCATGGATGAATGTAGTACTTGCATAGAATTACAAAACCATATCCAAGTAGAAAAAAGGGAGGAAGAAACAAGGTCTCTAAAAATAAAAATGGAGTTACACAAGAAACAGGCCCAAGCCTTCTTCCAACACCTGCGAGAAAAACCACAAGGATGCTTTATTTTGAGTTTTGATTGTCAGAAGAACCTTGTATTGCCAAAAGTGACTGATCAAAGTGCGTATTATTCTCGACAGTTTTATTGTTATAACCTTGCACTAGTTAAAGGATTGTCAAATGAATCCCTGAATCCCAGTACTGTCTCAATTTATTCCTGGACAGAAGACGAAGCAAAAAAATCATCCAACGAGGTTGCTTCTATTGTATTCAATGAGTTGAGATCAGCTGATCTCTTAGGATATGACTCCATTCGTTTGGTGTCTGACGGGTGCGCGGGACAAAATAAGAATATAAATATTTTAACTATGTGCTGCAAGTTTCTGGATAGCTATGCTCCAGCAAACATACGGAAAATTGAAACAGTCTTTCCTGTAACCGGGCACTCATTTCTTCCTGCCGACAGAGTATTTGGGATGATAGAGAAAAAATTAAAAAAAATCAACACAATTGTGACAAAAGAAAAATATCATGAAATTTTTAAAAAATTTGGGACGATTAAGTTGATTGGAAGGGATTGGATACCGTTGGACTGGAAACAAGAAGCGAAAAGTTTTATGAAAACAGCGGCTCAACTTCATTTCAAAATTTCCACCTGCCGGCGAATAGTTATTCGGAAAACTAAATTGGAAAACATAGTTGTGAAAGGAGAGATGGCTTACAACGTTGACACTGGTGCAGAGAGAAAAATTTGTAAGGCCAACTGCACTATTGGACAGATCAACCCAAAAGAAATTCGTATTGGTGTGCCCCTGAAAGCAGAAAAGGTTAAGGACGTAGCAAAATTGCTTGAAAAACATTTTGGAATAAATTGGAGGGAGAATGATACTTTGCAGTGGTACAAAAATATAATGCAAGCAGAACCTGAAATTTCGGCTGAATGTGACGATTCATGTGAGTGTGAAAATAATGATCATACTGATTTTGATGGTGATCTTGTGTTAATTTCAATTTGAATCTTACTAAAGTTTAAAAAATATTTTATAAGTTCAAATATTTTACTTTATATATTTTTAGTTAAATTGCTTTTTAGGTAGGTACTAATGCAACTTGAATAAAACATTTTAAAATTGGAACTTTTATTTAAAGTACCTGATTCCCTATATAAATGTTATAAGCAATAAATTTTAAGTTAGGTCCAAGTCGAGTGTTTACTCTTTCAAATACAATTTGTTGGTTTCAAAAACGGACACCTACCATCACATTTGTATCAAACATGGACATTTACCCAATTTTGTTTCAAAAGCGGACATCCGTATTTTCAAATAATAATTTTATAATAATTTCATATATTTCTGATATCAGAATGTCCACAAGATTACTTTTGAAGCCTTCACTAAAATTATAAGAAGTGAGATTTTTATAAAAAGAATAATAGCAGCTGTGTACAAAAAAACCAATTTATCTCCATTTTTCTTGCATGACACATGTCCGTCTTTGATATTAAGCCACTCATTTATATTCCGACTGACATAGCAGAACAGTAAAGTATTATACATAAAGATGTTGTCATAAGATATCTTTGCTTAGTTGGTCTACTAGTAACCATATAAGTTATAGCATATATTTGATAAAATTACTGTCTACACAACTTGGCAACTCAGCCAATTGATATAATGACAGAAAACTGCAATTTATGTTAGGATTTGAAAATATTACAGAGTCGTCATGTAGAAATCTACAATTAAGTTAAAAAATTTACCACAGTAGCATGCCGCAGTAGAGCCATCTCTAGGATCAGAAACAAATTAATCAAGGGTGAAGATCAACCTTAAAGAAAACTGTATTATGGGCAATTTCTCGAGAACTAATTTGCTGTTATACTATGCACTGGCAATATTTTTAATAAATAATATTAAAGAGACCTCTGAATATATTGTAAGTCTATATTTAATAAGATAATTTTAGTGTCCTAAATAACAAATAGAAAGATTAAATTAAGTAGTGCTCTACATATTAATAAATAAAGTAATGTAGTTCTTATGTGTTGTGACGTTCTTCAAACATAGCAGCATTACCTTAGAAATTGCCAGAAACGTCAACTACTTTATGTATAATTATGAAATAACTGTCAAAACTTAGAATTGTAGTGGTACAAGTGGTATTGGTAAAAACAGTGATGGTGATGTAGTGTTTTTAGGCAAAAGAAAGACTTTTACAAAATTATGAACTATTTTAACAATATTGGAATTGAAGCATTATGATTTACAGGCCACATGTCCGCAGACGAAAAATAAAATTTCGTACTGTCGGTACCGACTCCTAATTGGCAATCATTATTTGCATATCTCAAGACCATTATATAAATAATGTACGGGTAAAATAATATTAGTTGTGGTATAGTGATGAGCTAAAATTTGATTTTCAAGTATCACTGCTACGACTGATTACTATTTTCACATAACTGTTATTTTTAGTTTCTATCAGAATCACAGTAATAATACATACATTACCTAGGTGTGTGAGGATAAATAAAAGATGTTTATCAAAAACAAAGAATATTTTTTTATGAATTTCTATTATGTTTTTATATTTATTAATCTATGTATAGATATTTACCCCAAAATATACTTACGGCATTAATATCGATAAACATTATCAGGAAGACAAACCTTTTTGTAGGCAGAATTATTTTTGAATTTAGTTTTAAAGGTATGTCTCAAAAGTTTTTAATTTTTATCTCTTTAGATACACACCAACTATAAATCTTACAAAATTTCATATTTGTCAAAACATAGTGGTTGAAGACTGCAAGGTGTCACAATAAATTGTGCTACAATTTATCATTTACACTTTAATTTTTTTACAAAATCATTTTCTTTTGCACAGATAATTCACTTCTACTTCCAATAAATTCAAAGCTTGTTTGTGGTGCTTTTAAGTTCATTTTATTATTTACTATCTTTAATAGGATAACCACAATTAAGGAAATCTAACCAATTCCTGAAGTTGAAAAATCAAGATGCTAAAATAAACTTATTTTCAAATGAAATTGTGGTTTATTTGGATGAAAGACAATAAATAATATTAAAATGCCACAAAAAATAACTAAACCAATTTGATTAGCCTACTTTAACAATATTTATTAAAAAACTACAATAGAACAGATGGTCAGCTTAGTGACACAAAAGTGTATCTCAAAAATGACTACTTTTCAGGAGAGCTTATTTAAGGCTGTTTTATCTGTGCACCAAAACCTAGGGACTGATATTTACTGACAAAATGTCTCGAAATTTGGACACAATATTCGAAATTATGTTGCTTTTAAAATGATGGTTTTACTTTTTTAATTTTTTTGAAACTTCTGTTGAAAAATTGGATTATACTGTTTAATGTTCTATTATAACCAAAATTTTTACGCCCATCACTTGAAAGAGTTTTTTTTTCTGTAATCGTTGATTTTTTTTCACCTTTCTGTGTCCAGTAATAATCGAGAAAAGCGTGTTCCAACTTTGAAGAAAATTGCTAAAAAATACTAAAATCTAATAGTGAAACGTGTTACTCATCATTGTCATTTATTTTCACTGTTATCACCTTTGTGACGTCAAATCTCATGAACATATAGTCAGTTAGTTTGTGTTAAAACTAATTTGAATGGAGAGTAATGCATTTGTTGTCATTAAACTAGCCGTCGGCTGCGCCACTGAGTAAAGATAGTCTCGCGTAAGCAGTGTAGAAAAGTAAGTAATATGCCCATTTCAAATCGCAGTGGGCTTGATCTGCTAAAACAGCTTTAAGGTTTTTAAAAAATGATTTGCATTTTGTAATGACCTGTATTTTTTTCTCAACTTTTTTATTCTGAATTATTAATCTTAGAAATGTATTCTTTACGTTAATAAAATCATATGCAACAATGGATATATTGTTTTTTTCAAAATATCAACAATTAGATAAAGTAGCGGAGATACATTTTTGTGTCCCTAACTGAAAAGTCTATTATTATAGAGACTTACGTAGGTACCATTTTATTTTAGAAAAGCTTAATCTTAATCCTATTACAAAGTCATGTGTATTTGAGTAATATCGATAAATTTCGAGAGATGAACATACTGAGTGGCAGGTGTAATAAGTAAAAGTACAATAGATTAAAATTTATTAATCTATATCTGGTCCGAAAATTTAACCAGGCCATTTAAATACAAATGACTTTGTAGTAGGATTAAGATTAAGCTTTTCTAAAATAAAATGGTACCTACTTGTAATTATTTGTTGCTTTAGCATTATAATCTAATTTCACAACTGAGGGTTACCCAATTTACTAATAATAATAAAAATAATAATCATAGTTCATTGTATAACTTTATATTGTTCTGAAGCTATTTTCTTGTGGCATTAAATACTATTTAAACATCTTGATGGGAATAGCCACATTATATTTATTAAAAAAACTTTATAAAATGTTTAGACAATGATTTCTGAATTAGAAGTCGAAATGTCAATAAAGTTTCTTTTTTTATATATAAATATATTGTGGTTATTCCAATCGAGACGTATGTAACTTTATTTAAAATCATAAATTTTTTTTTAATTAAACATAAACTTTGAAATGCAACGGACCACCTTGCTAAACATAATAAACAAATTATCAAATCCACAGTTGCTACCTGCAATCACCATTTAGTGCAATAAAATTAATGCCACAAAAATGTAACTCAATATCAGCTTATTTATAGTATAAAAACATAGTATCACAGAAATGTAACAACACTTACATTTCTGTGACATGTAACAGCACTTACATTTCTGTGACACTAAAAGATTGCTAAGAAATGTAGTTACGAAAACTCCTTACTGGAGTTTTAGGTGTTCGAAGTGATACAGTTTTGTGTTTTTCAATAGAACCCACTAAAGTAAGTTCAATGGTGTAGATATCTCAAAACAGGAAAAAATGTAGTTACATTTTTGTGTTACTAAGCCGACGAAATGCTAAAAAAATTAGATATTTTTATACAAAACTTATAACTTTCTGACTTAAAATTTCAAAATGGATATGTTTTCTGAAACAATTTTGCTTTTTAGTTATTTATTGTTAAAGAATATTGGCACTTTATCATTAAATGTATCTGCAGTATCCAATAGATGGATTTTTTTTTAAATTCATGTACTCAATATCATATCTTCTTCTTCAAGTTCCCTGTCTGTTGCGAATGTTGGCTATTAACATGACAATTCTGATCTTGTTTGCGGCACTTCTGTATAGTTCGACCGATGTGAGCCCGAACCACTTCCGCAGATTTTGGAGCCACGAGTGTCTTCTCCTGCCTGGCCCTCGCTTACTGTCTATTTTCCCCTGGACAATCATTTGCAGTAGACGGTATTTATCGTGTCTTAATATGGGGCGTAGATATTCAAGCTTTCTCTGTTTAATTGTGCTCGCGAGTTCTTTCTCCTTTTCGATTCTTTGGATTACTTCTATGTTGGTGACATGTTCGGTCCAGGATATACGAAAAATGCGTCGGTAGACCCACATTTCGAATGCTTCTAGTTTTCTCGTAAGCGTCTATGTCAGCGTCCAGGCCTCCATACCTTATAGTAAGATCGGAAAAATGTAGCATTTAACTAGACGTAGTTTTAGTGGAAGAGACAAATCCTTGCTTATGAGGAGCTTTTTTATATGGGTAAATGCTGCTCTAGATAAAAGGGAATCTGAACAAATGGCAATTGTTCATGTTTAGTGTTACTGCAAAGCCAACACCAGTAGTAGTTTTAGAAGCATCGGTATAGAGGATTAAATTATATTATTTTTTTTTGTATAATTTCTAAAAATGCTTTCTTTATAAGAATGTTAGAAGATTCATGTTTCTTAAAGATGGTTTCTTAAAAATGGTCTATTGAAGGGTATGTTTTTAATAAAATAAAAACAACTTAAAAATAATTAAAGTTCTTTTTAGTTCTTTTTAGTAAATAAGAATAGATTTTTAAAAAATAGCTTCTCTTTTCAGAGTATCTAATCAAGAGTGAACATCATGGCTCAGGTGGTCAGTCAAAAACGTGGCCGGGGCTTAGGCACTGGTGAAACTTCTTCTGCTTCTTCTAGCTCGACAAATCAACTGTCAGCATTAAGTACAGCTCCTGGAACTCTAACAGATGAACTAGCGGCACTTTTTGAATGCCCGGTGTGCTTTGAAGTAGTTCTGCCACCTATTATGCAATGTCAAGTAGGACACTTAGTTTGTGCTAGCTGTCGCCCTAAATTGTCCTGTTGTCCCACTTGCCGTGGGACACTTGGCAATATTAGAAACTTGGCTATGGAGAAGGTGGCGAATAATTTAATGTTTCCGTGCAAACACAAATCCACTGGTTGTAGAATGACTCTAGGGCTTAACGAAAAAGCAGAACATGAAGAGATTTGTGAATTTCGACCATATAGTTGCCCTTGTCCAGGAGCTTCATGTTCATGGCAGGTAAGAATTTTTATTTATCTTCTTTTTATATTAATCATTTCATTAAACATATAAACAATACCCTACATATTTACTAAATAGTTGTCTCCCATAGATACTCTCCCTCATTCCTTATATTATACATGTCTTTTTTATCATTTTCCTTCCCATTTGTTTTTCTGTTTGATTAATTATATAGATAGATAGATAGATAGATAGATAGATAGATAGATAGATAGATAGATAGATAGATAAATGGTTTATTTAAGACATTCACTATAAGGTAACTCTTAATTTTTGCCTTAAACTGATGAAAAGTAAGAGCTTTTATTCTAGCTGGCACTAAGTTGTAGAATTTTATGGCTAAATACCTTGAACCATTTCTGGATCTCTCAAGACGGCCAAATTCTGGTATAAGATTATTGTTAAATCTGGTGGGATAATTGTGAAAATCTACATGTGCATTGTATTGGCTAAGATTTTGTTTAACGTGCAACAGACACTGCACATTTTGTCTGCCAATCTTTGAACATTCTAAATTCTGCTAAACTTAACTAAAACTTTATTTAGATTGGGTAAGACCATGGAACTCTTCAATGCAGAAAAATTATAAATCTTTTAACCTTGTCTTTAATTTTTTTCTTCTCCTGTGTACTTTGTTGGAAGTAACGCATTTATTATTTTCTAAGGGACAATTGGACAAAGTGATGGTGCATCTTCAACATGCCCATAAAAATATAACTACCCTAAACGGTGAAGACATCGTGTTTTTAGCTACCGAAATTAATTTAGCTGGTGCAGTGGACTGGGTCATGATGCAAAGTTGTTTTGGCCATCACTTTATGCTGGTTTTGGAAAAACAGGAGAAAAATGATGGCCACACCCAATTTTTTGCAATTGTCCAGCTCATTGGATCCCGCAAACAAGCTGAACATTTCGCATATAGGTAAGTTCAGTATTTTTTGTATATTGTATTTAGTCTTGTTTCTTTATTTAGGGGTAACTATTATTTAATTATAGTTATAAAAAAAGATGTATACAAGTAGACAAGTACTAACAAGTTAACATTTTTAGTAAGTATAAAAAAATATTAAAAAAATCTCAAAGTAATTGGGACAAATTGATAGAATAGAATAGATATGGTACAGTATGACCTTCATTTAGCCAAGTCTCGTCCAAAATAAAAAATTGTTTTCCCTTCTTCTCGGTACTTTTTAATAGTTCTTAGATAATCTCGTCTCCAACATACAATGTAATCTTTTTCAATTAAAATGGATTTTCTTCTATTCTTTTGCCAACGAAATCCCATCTCTCTCAATAGTCCCCATAATTTCTTGTTGCTTATGATTGGTAACTCTTCGTTTTCTCTAATTAATGTTTGGATTTTGTCCAATGTTGGAAATTCTTTGTTAAAAAAAAATGAGTGGACGCTGCGTCTTATCATGTTTTTATATATTTCTTCAATTTCCAAGGGTTTACTCCCTCCGCTCTTATTGGGAGATGAAACAGTTCCTCCTTTTCTTTCTTTTAGGAATCTATAAATTGTTGCTTCTCCAACCCCTGTCATATTTGAACACATGTTAACGATTTCACGAACATTACTTAAAGGACGTTGATGTACAAGTGCATCGTGTACATTTAATATTATATTTTTCTCTCTTAGACTGAAGGCACCTTTAAAACTACACTTAACCGGGATAAAACCTGTTGTCGACGTCATGTTTAAATACAAATAACAAAATATCGACACCAAAAACGTAGGTAGCTAAGACATGAACAATGTACATCTACAAACTAAATGGAAGATGCAAACAATTTCTAATTTATATTATTGGCATAAGCTGTAATATGTCATAAAAACTACTTAAACTATCATTATTAAAGCCTTATCAGTAATTCCAGGTAATCGTTCAAAGAAGGTATTCTTTTTGTCTCAGGCGATAACTTGTATAGAAAACACTAATCACCTTTAAATTACTGTTTACATTTATTTATTTCGTGAAACATTCGTTAATCACCCGTGTATAATTAACAATAATCGTGTGGCATATGTACCGACGTTTTTTACGCACAAAAAAGGTATAGTGAGATTAGTAGACACTTATTTTACAGAAGATTTTTTAAAAGATAATGAATTGTTGACGGCATCTTAAAATATTATTTTTTTTTATTTATTTCAAAACAAGTATGGGGTGACGCCTATGGTTTTTTGACCTGTTGAGGATTTGCATACATAATGTGCTATCAATATGATGAAAAAGGACTATAGTGAATTATGTTTATAGTATTTTTTTATAAAGTTAAATTAATCTACAACTTAATTTTTTTCATCTAGATTGGAGCTTAATGGGAATAGAAGGAGATTGATTTGGGAAGCCATGCCGAGGTCAAGTCACGAAGGAGTAGCCTCAGCAATTATGGGAAGTGATTGTCTCGTTTTTGATAATTCCATTGCCCAACATTTCGCAGACAATGGAAATTTAGGTATTAATGTTACCATTTCCTTAGTTTGCTAAACGATAGGTCTTACAAAATAGGTGACAATGAGACAAAATAGCTACAAGGGTCTCTGCTTATTGTTAATGTGCAGCAATATAATTTAGACTTAATTTCAGTGCAAAACTATTAAAAATATGTTTTGATGACATTTGTAGTATTAAAATACACAACATGTCACAACTATTAAATTAAAGGGCAAATAAAACTATGGGGTCGATGAAATATTAGGGAGACAAAGATAAAAAAAATTGTATAATCTGAAAATATGTCAGTCATAATAGTTACTGAAGGCGTGGTTACCAAAACGATTAAAATTTATAAACATATACATACAATTGCTGATTTTCCTAAAAGCTTTCTCATAAGGAATGTCGTAAGTTGCCGAATTATAGTATTACATTTTTTCGCCGGAACTAACCTAAAAACTGAATTAATTCCTCATCACTTATTTTTTTAATATTAATAATGTCTTCTAATGAAGTAACTTCTATTTTCTGCGGTATAAATTATACAACTTAAAACACCAATAATCGCATAAAACGAGTTAATCTGTGAATTTGAAATATGTAGGTATATCAAATTCAAACACAAAAATTGGTTCTCAAACTAGTTATGACAACCACGATTATTCGCTGTCAGGTGTTTATAAAGGTAACCTCAAATTTGGCTTGCAGTGGACATAATTGAGCTTCTGAATATAAAATATTTTTTATATGTAAATATTATTGATTCATTGGCAGATACAAGTTATATTGCTGACATAAATGTGAGAAAAGAGACCCTATTTTTTAATATGAGGTGCAGTACAGGTATTTTGTTTTAGTTTCATCTGAGTGTCTTATGATACACATATATAACACCAATAGTAATAATATTAAGGATTTGCTCTTAGAATTAGAATTTCCTTCAGACCATAAGTCGTCTGTTCATGCCTTAGAATTTACACTTTGAAACAGTGTTTACGATTTTCACACTGTATGAAAATATCACCCACATTTTTAAGCACCTAAGTTACAAGTTTGGTTAGATGTTGAATGTAACTTAAAATATTGTACAGGATGTAATTTAAAGCAATGTAAAAAGAACAGTTTTAGTATCAGTGGTTTAGTAATTATTTTGTATTCATGAAGATATCGTTGTAGCGATTGTATTGTTTCAGTTGTACAGATGTGACTAGTTACGAAACGATTAAATTTGCTTTTTGTGTTTTTTGAGATATTAAAAATAATTTTTGGGACAAAGTCTTTTCACAATTATTATAATAAAGACAAATAAATTTATTACACTGAACTTAGATCACTTTTGTTTTTATTAAAAGTTATTCAATTTTATAAAGGAATTTTTGCAGAAATGTATTCAACAGGACTTCGATTATTTTCACAGAACTAATTTATGGAAAAGAAGTCCAAAACGTGATATAATCCAGTTTTTATAAATATGTAACTTTGTTTTTAACTAGCCATGTCTTCTACTCATGCAAATCAAAGCAGAAGATGTTTTGACATGACCCAAAATAAAAACAAACTAAATTAACCACTGATATGTTTCACTAATTTGGAATATCGTCGGTACAGTACAATTGAACCATATATAAACTAATTTGGACATCAGGCATTGGCATTATTTACATTATTTCATTTATTGTGTTCTTTACGATCAAAATCATGTGAATGAAACGCAAATAATTCCAAACAGCTTATTTTTCCATTTTAATAAGTTTCTTTTAAGTCATGACTGTGTCTTATGAGAATGCCCCACTCATCTTTGTTGTTTCACATACATTTTCTTTTTGATCATTTATTTTTTAACCCTTTAACAGACAAATCAATTTTTGTATAAGAAATAAATTTTTTTTGGCGACGTTACAAGGAAAGATCTAAAAATTCATTATTTTGTATATGTCCTTACACCAAGCAATCTGGCAAGTTTCACATATGATATTGAATAGAATTTGCTTCTGTTTTGAGAACTGCAAAGAACATCGACTTAACCCATTAATGCCCAAAATTAAATTTTTATCAAAATTGAATCAAAACTTCAGAATGAAATAAAGAGAGGTTGTTTTTAATAGAAATGTGCAAAATTTACGTTTTTTTTTCTTTGTAACTGTCTTTTTTTGACGTATGATATATCATACGCTGGGCAATGAAGGACACAATATTTCATAAGATATGTTTTATTTTAAAATATTTACAACGTTTGATCAACGTTGATCAACGTTTTGAGACAGTGTACCTCGGCCAATACTTTGAAAAGTGTAATTGAACTGGTCTTCCTCATCACTTCCGGCATCGTCTCTGTCAGAATCATTTCCATCATTTGGATAATACAACGTGAGTTGAACTTCATTACACTGGTCAATTTCCTTAGCCAAAGTATCGTCATATTCTAAACTTTCATATATTTTCAACAATTCCTCTGCATCTTTGGGATTATTAGGATCATATTTTTTCGTAATTTTTTTCTAAAACAGAAACAATATTGATTAGTTACCCAGCGTGGGCCCAGCGTATTATATATCATACGCAAGAATCAAAGATCTTTAAAATACTCACCAGTATAAATTTCAATACTATTTATATCACTATTCGATATTTAGAAACCTTTCTAGTTGAACAGTACAAAAGATTTTTCAAAATAAGCCAAGAAAGTCATACAAACTGTACTAAAATGAAAACTAATCACTCTTCACCGCCAAGCGGTTATAAATTTCTCATTTTATGATAAACAGTTACCTTCTATCATCTACTCTGTAACCTATATTGGGAAAATAGCTAATTTATACTTTTTTTTCTGACTAGTAGATGGGGAAATATGTAGCAGTGTCTCGCGTATTATATAAACTACGGTGGGCATTAATGGGTTAAGTCATCTTGATTGAAAAATCACAGTTGATGGCATTTGTGATACTGTTCGAGGCTTCTTTATTGGAAAATAGTTTGCAATAAATACTAATAGCGACATGCGCACTCCTGATAGGTTATATCTACCAGACATTTTGTCTGCGCACTGTGCTTATTAAACGTACAACCTCACAGCATATCATGCCATTATAGTCCTAATTACTTTGTGATATATATAACTACCAGCAACCATTAGAGGGTTAAAGACAATGATTAGTTTACAGAAATAATATTAGTAAATTCAAAATTTTGGAACTGTGCCAACGATAAATCATTTGATTTTATTTATAACATTTCAAAGGTAGCTTATGTGTTCAGCTACTACGACTGATGTATAGTAACTTGTTTTTATTATTGTTTGATGTCTCATTTTCACTTACTTTCGGTTTAGTTCTAGTTTTTACTTTATTTTTGTTTTGTATTTTCTTCTAAGTTTACTGTTTATTCCAAGATATTCTGTTAATTATAATATATATATATATATATATATATATATATATATATATATATATATATATATATATATATATATATGTATATAATAAGACAATATTAATAGAAAAATTAATATTAAATTTACTCACTTTCCGGTAGTATCGATTTCTACCACTACGTCGAGCTTTCAACTTCTTTTATGAAGTCTTCATTTCTTACATCACCTCACTATTATATAGTTCGCTGTTTACTAGTATTACCCCAACTTAATTTTAATGAAAAGTAAAAAATGATCTGAAATAACCGTTTTGTCTAGTATATTAGGTATAATGATTTTAACACTTTTTATGAGTGATTAACTTTTTATTATTCTTGGAGTAAATCGTAAAGGACGTTATAGAATGCTAATGTATTCACCGAAAAACAGTCTACATGTTTTGTTTTTGTCGATTTGTTGTATTAGTTCTATATTCTCTCTGCTTGGGTTAATAAATTACACGCTAAACATTGAAAAAAAAATATTTTAGGCCAGATTTTTTTTAATAAGTTACTGAAACATGCGGAGATGTTTAGCGTCCAAACTTTATTACTCTGGGATATTTTTTATTAGTAGTTGATCCCATTTAGGCATTGACTAACTATTGTGATATAAAAGTACAGCTAATGTAACAGATATTCATTTTTCGTACAGATTGCTAGCGTGTTGGGTTTTAGGAACCAAAAACACAAAAATGTCTATATTTAGCTAAGTATTTTTTCTGTAATTCTAGTCTGGAAAAGCAAAAAGTAGCTTTACCGATCAAAAAAACAAACATTTTAGAGAAATGATTCTCTAAAACAAACCATAATTACCTAACCTAAAAGGCTTGTTTAAAATTGTGACATACCTAGGAAGCTTTAAATTCTTAATACAAACTATTATTTAGTATAGGTTGTTTTAAAATAGTGTACAGTTTCCATAAATAAAGTAATAACTTTTGAGAATTATATAATATCAAATCAAGCTTGATGACAAATAACGCAGCAATATTTTATCGAGACAAGAAACTACATTGATCCATACTTTTTGGTTTATATTTGTAATGGAACATAATCGCTTCGAATTCGTTAATGACGTCAACTTTTTTACTTTTCCAGGCTGCGTTTACATCCTTACAGTGATTAATTGCAAATTGTAAATGTTGAAATAGTAGAAAATCGTTTTCCTACATTATTTCAAATTAGAAGATTTGTGAATTTAAAATCATTAACTGACATTTTTTATACTTTTAAAATTGTTCCAAGTTTTGCTTTGTTCACTTTTTACTGTATAATTGGCTTTTTTTCTGAAAGCCGTCTCTCCTTCTTCTTCTTGTAACACTAAAACCCTGGGTGGGTCGTGGCTGACTGTATAATTTGCTTCCATCTTGAATGGTCGTCCATAATAGTTGGGTCAGTGGGTAGCCCCCTTGTTCTTAGATCTGACAATATATTGTCTCTCCATCGCATTCGTGGACGTCCTAAGAGCCTTCTTCCTGTGGGGACTTCCTCCCATATTAACTTGTTAAGCCGGTAATTAGGGAGTCTATGGACATGGCAATCTTAGACATTAAGATTTAATCTCTTGGACTATGTCGCTCGCGCTATACATCTTCTTCCCAAAGGCCCAAAGATTCTTCTGAAGATTTTCCTCTCAAAACATCTTTTCTTTCAGTTTCTTTGGTCAGGGTCCACGTCTCACACCCATACATGAGCACTGGTCTAATCACCGTTTTATAAATTCTAATCTTTGATGTTCGTGTTAGGCTTTTAGATTTAATAGTGTTGTGGAGGCTGTACATACATCTGTTTGCTGCCTCGATTCTTCCTATAATCTCTTCCACGATATCGTTATCTGCGGTGATTGTTACGCCGAGATATTTAAAACTCTTCACTCTTTCAAAGTTATATGGATCTATTGTAACATTTTGCCCTTTTCTATCTCGTCCCTTTTGTCTGTTGATGCACATGTATTTGGTTTTCTCTTCATTTACCCTTAAACTAGTTTTGTTTGCCTCTACCTCCAATTTATTAAAAGTTTCCTTCACATTGGTGACTGTGTTTCCCACAATGTCAATGTCATCTGCGTATGCTAGTAGTAATTTTGGTCCATTTACTGTCAGTAATTCTGTTTTAAGATGTGCTGCTCTACTACTTTCTCCATGATGACATTAAAAACGAGAGGTGGCAGGTTAATGCTGTCGTACGCTTGCCGGAAATTTATGAAGAGATTATGGATAGTTCTATTGAATTTCCATCCTTTTTCAAGCAGCTGTCTTAGAGTAAAGATATGATCTATGGTCGATCTATATTTTCTGAAGCCGGCTTGATATTCCCCCATGAAATTTTCTACAAATGGTGTTAGCCTACTTAATAGGATGTTCGATAACATTTTATATGCCGTATTAAGTAGGGAGATGCCTCTATAATTAGAGTACTTGGTTTTGTCTCCGTTTTTATGGATGGGGATTATTACACTTTTGTGCCATTTTTTTGGTATTTTCTCTTAGTTCCATATAAGTCTTATTAGTTTGTGTATTTGTCTATGCAGAATTTCTCCTCCGTACTTAAGGAATTCAGCCAGTATATTGTCAGAGCCTGGAGCTTTTCCGTTCTTCAATTTGTTAATTGCTTGCAAAGCAAGCTTCAGTAAAAGGTTCACCTAGGTTATTTATAGACTCAGAGGAATCACACATTTTTGAGTTTTCGTGTGTCTTCGTGTACATTTTATTCCCACGAGTTGGGACGAACTCCTGCCAATCACGCTAGAACAGATCAATTTATTTTCCAGTTTGCCACAATG